CTAACAACAACTTGAGCTACTTCAACAGCTCTAGACAACAACTCTACCACTACTACTACTACTAAGAAGAGAGAGAGAACATAAGTTGGTCTAATGACCAATGGACAGAATGAGACAAATAGTAGAGGTAGTGGTTGCAGATAGCGCCACTACCTAACACCTCCACCCATTATAAGTGAACAGCTTTACCTGTTCACGAAAATACACAGGTAAACAACAAATAACAAAAACAGGAGCGAAGATGAAACAAAAGAAAATGAGGGAAAAGAGAAAATACAACACTTTCGTAAATGAATACAATAAAAGAAAACGAAAATGAAAAAAAGTTTTTCGACGATATTTCCATTTACGGTATTTTATTTCACGATAATAAAACCATAATTGACATTTTCCATTTTGAAAATAACATCGAGATTCATAGTGATATGAATGAACCCATGCTTTACTAACAATCGTAAATGCAATATTTTCGTATGGTGTTGGGGTATCTATATCATAACGTTTTTTATCATATGGATTCCATTCATAACCAATATAAACTTTATCAAAAAGTCGAGGTTTACGTGATGGGTATTTATCAGGCCATAAATTTTGAACATCCTGAGGTACAACAGTATCAATTAATGTAGCATCAGCTGTTAAACTATCCGTACTACTAGCAATAGCTTCAAAATCATGTTCAATATCAGTTTTAACAGGACTAGATTTAGTAACATATTCACCATGTTGCTTTACTTCATTACCATGATCTGTTTCAACTGTACATAGTTTTTGAATTTCCAAATTAATATCATCTATTTTGTTTAACATAGATGAATAATAATCTTGTTCATCTTCATGTAAACATTTATTATTTAAAACTGGAAATGGTTCGATTTGTTCATCATTTGATAAATCTGGAGCTGATTCAATTTGTTCATCATTTAATAAATCTAAGGGACGATTTTTATTAAATGTGAATTGATGTTGATCATGAGCACGTGATGGTAAAAACAAGGACAGTTGTTGATAATGTGGAGAACGTTTTTCAGTATTAATATGTGGTGTTACGACCATAACTGATGCATCAATAGGATCATTATTGTTTGGATTATTATCAGGTGGATTTATTGAAACACGTGATAAATCATTTAATGTAAATTGTATTTGTTCTTCACCTTGTGCAATAGTAAGAAAGTCAGCAGGAGTAGAAGGATGTCGACGAATAACATGAGGAATTAATGATTGTGTTAATCCTTTAATTAAATGATGAATTATTATTGATAAACTCATATTTGAATCAGCTTGTAAACACAGATGAATTTTATCAGAATAATATTCCATAACAGATTCATGAGGTAATTGTAAACGTTGTTCCATTTTGAGGAATGCTTGATGACATGATCGTTGAAAAGCTTTAATAATTTCAACCTTAAATGTGGGCCAATTAACAACAGTAGATTTGTTATACCGAAACCATTTTTCAGCAGCACCAACTAAATACGATTGTACAGCTAAATATTTATTCGATGATTGTAATTTTACTCGATCAAATATGTATTCAGTATCTTTTAACCATTGAATAACATCTTCATCAAATTTTCCACCAAATTTAGTAAGTTGTCTAACTTGTTGTTGAACAAAAATCTGCATGTATTGTTTGTCCATACTTAATAACAATTGAGATCACAATATCAGGAGCAAGGCTAAATCTTGATAAACCAGAAAAATAAATCGAATGAGGAACACCGGGAAAAAAACTTGACTAGAGGAAACAAAATTTTGTCTCGTGTTCGACGAATTGTGGTCGAAATGTATCACGACGGGTCACGACACCAATTGTTAGACTGTTACTCTAACTAATATCTTTATTTCTTCCTAACAACAACTTGAGCTACTTCAACAGCTCTAGACAACAACTCTACCACTACTACTACTACTACTAAGAAGAGAGAGAGAACATAAGTTGGTCTAATGACCAATGGACAGAATGAGACAAATAGTAGAGGTAGTGGTTGCAGATAGCGCCACTACCTAACAAAGTTGAACTACTAATTTATCCAAAGTTCTCTTTCGAAAATCGACTCCAACTGTGTTTTTCGGTATTCTTGTAGAATGTTAAAGTAAAGCTGTTTTTATTGTGTATTATCACTGTTGACAACCGAAGCATTCACCTCTCCTGAATGAACAACATTAAAATCAAATCTTTCTTCTGTCGCCATTTGATTTCAATAATTCGATCTTTCTCTTCTTTCTTCCTAACACAAAAAAACTTTAAGGATTCCTTCAATTATTCTCAAAGTTATTTCTTTAGGGTGTGGGTGTGGGGTAGAGGTGGACCAGTTAATTTAACGCGAGTTAATTAACGCCGTTAATTAACTAAAATCGTTAACCGTTAATATTAACGGTTAATGGTTTCCCTAGAAAAGTTAATTCGTTAATATTAACGTATTAGTTAACCGTAAATATTAACGGTTAACCTTTTAGTTAACCGTTAATTCATTGTAAATTAACTCATTAACGTAGAGACAACAATCATATATCATTTAATTTCGAATTTTAATGAAAAAATCGACGATCCTACAAAAACTATTTTCACGGTGTAGATGAGGATGTGAGTGTGAACTAGGAATCGAAATTATATGAGTAGTTGCCTAATTCGAGTTCGAATATATATGGAGCTTTCAAAGACAAATCTCAACATAAAATCAATCCTGGACGAAGACATAGTTTTAGTTATTTATAATTATAGCTTATATTGTAGATTTGTACTTATGTGAGTTTCGTTTATTGTGATATCTGAATTATGATGACAAAGTGAAGAAGAAGAAAAGAAGAAGAAGAGACATAAAGAAGAACAGTTAGAGAACAAGCGAGCGAATGTACTATCTCAACATCATGTATAGAACGAACATGAATATATATATAAAAACAGATTGGGAAAATTCCCTATACGAACTAAGACACATAGTGGGAAAATTCCTACATATCACGTTGGGAAAAATCCTATGTACGAAAAAGTGGATATTTCCAACACTTGTGAATGTTCACAAACTCACCACCTGAACAATATTAAGACATATATACGTCAATATATGTGAATTATAACTAGAGAGGGAAGGTCCCCAACTGATCCACGTCGTTTTCAATGATATTTTGTCCCTATGTTGGGATCATTATTCTAAGAAAAATCCTAAGAGCGTTTGGGCTGATGGTGCTTCCTTCGAAGATTATGGCCATTTTACTGATTTTCCGGCCTATGGCAAGGTATTTATAAAAAAATCGGATAACGAAATTTTGACCTGATATTTTGTCCATATGTAGACCGCATGGCCCTTATTAAGCGCTACAAGTTTGAGTGAAAACAGGTGTTTGTTTCTCGAGATAATGAATTTGTAAGAAATACCCACATTTCATAGAGAGCTCAGAAAAATGGAGTTTTCTTGGACATTCATTATCTCGAGAGCGAAACATCCTTTTTCGCTGAAACTTTTAGCATATGCTAAGGACTATGATGCCTACATATGGGCAAAATTTTGCCATCCAACGTTTTTGTAAATTGCTTGCCATAGGCCGAAAAATCAGTAAAATGGCCATAGCCTCCGAAGAAAGCACCATCAGCCAAACCCTCTTAAGATTTTTTTTAGAATAACTATCCCGACATATAGAAAAAATGTCATTGAAAACGACATGGATCAGATGGGGACCTTCTCTCGTAAGAAGAACTTTAAAAAATCTATTCCTAACAATTGCTATTCTTACAGGAAAACATACATATGACCTACTTTCAAAAAAGGAAGTTGTCCAGAACCTTTTTGAGGATTCTGACGCTGGATACTACCCGGAATCTTCAAAATGGTTCTGACTGAAAAGAGGTTCCACAAAAAATGAAGGAAATCATTTATGATTATTTAATAAAAATTGTTCAGTTCTACGGATAAGGTGTGGCATTAGTCAAACCTATCCCTTATCTCTATAGAGCATAAATAAAAAAGGTTTTCTCCGAATCCTATAAAGGGTTTCCAGGTTTGTCACTGTATGAAACTCTTTATAGGTTTCCGAGAAAGCGTTTCCAAGCTCTCAGAAACCTATCGGAAATCATCAAAAGCGTTTGAAAAAGCTCAAGGTTTCGGAAAGCCAGTAGAGATTTCCGGGATTTCGAAAACCATTTACAGACAGTCGAAAGAGTAATCGGACATTTAAGACCACTTCCACCCTTCCTGAAGAGTCATTTTGGTCAATGCACATACAAATTGCATGAATCTTCTCAAGATATGTTAGGACTGTAGTGGAGAGATTATGTTAAAGTTTTTTGCCCAACACCGTTACTTTTGAGTGACATAATTATTCACCACACAAGGGTCAAAAATTCTTGATCTGGTAACCCGAAATTCTCTGTGGGCCTTGGGTCTATTTTCAATTTTTTTTCGTTTGAAAGAGCATACCAGAATCCAGGGCATGGCAGAACTTTTTTCTTTAATTTCTTACGTTTCAACCCGTAAAAAGTGATTAGAAGTCTAATAACGCAGAAGCTCGAAGAAACCTTGAGAAACAGTAGATTTTCCTGATTTTTAAAAAGTTTTTTGAGTTATTGAACTTCTCATTACTTCTCTGATTTGAAAAGTAAGAATTTAAAGAAAAAGGTTCTGTCATATTCTGGATCCTGACACCCTCTTTCAAACAAAAAAAACTGAATTATATAGAATCAAGGCCCACGGAGAATTTTGAGAGATCAAATGAACTATTTTTGATCCTTGCTCGGTGAATATCTCCCCCAAACGTAAGCGCACTGAGCGAAAAATTTTAACATAATCTTTTCACTACAGTTCCAACATACCTTGAAAAAAATTATGCAATTGACATGTAAATTAACCGAAATGACTTTTCAAGAAGGATGGGGTTGGCCTCAAGTGTCTGAATGCTTTTTTGAACTGACTGTATAGTTTTTCGGTCGCTACCCGACAAAACAATTCAAGGCGTAGTTGATTTTAAGAAATTCCCTATGTATCTTACTTGAAGTCAGCTATAGTTTCGAGGTCCTCACGTCTTTCAGTTTCATGAAGGCAGGCTCTTGAATCTCAGTCATAGTCTTGAAGTCCTGATGTCTTCAAGTCACTTAAATGCAGGATTTTCCAATCAGTCATAATCCTCACAATCTCAAGCTCTCAAGTGTTTTAAATACAAAGTCATAAAGCCAGCCAAAATCTTCGAGTGTCTTAGAAACAAAGTCATGAAGTCAGTCGGAGTCGTGACATCATTAGACTTTTATATTCGTTAAATTTGATGCTTGTATCAGTATAATTTCTGAAATCGACAGATTCTTTATGTTAAAATCATGAAGAAAGTTCTAATCTTAGAGTCATCAAGTCTTCGTAGCTGTTTCCGCCGGGAATCTTTTCAGTGTTATATATTCAGAGTTTTCAGAATAGTAATGCACTTAATTCTGCAAGTCTCTTGAAGCTAGAGTGTTGAAATCAGTGAAGTCCTTATCCCATAAAGATTTTACGAGTGTGAACAATTGTTCCTTTCAAATAGTCAAGGTTTTCGAGTCTTGAAGTCTAAAGAATCTAGGTTGTTGTTGTGAGTTGAAGTCCTAGGCTTTATGGTTCGGCTACCATTCTAGTTTCGTTTCTGTCCTAATGGACGTGTTCGAATATTTCGTCCTAGTAGATTGCGGAATTACATGTTAGAGTGTGAAGAAGTTAATGTCAAGTGGTAACAAAACTTATCTAAGGCATTTTATTTCACTTTTTAATTTAGAAAAAGATCATCACTCACCGAAATGAAGTTTCAATGAATTCTGAATAAAAAAACAGGTCTTTCTCAACATTGGTAAGAGTGAGTGGCCCTTCAATTACATGAAGAGATATGTCGAGTGAGAAAGACTGAACAATTTTTTTCTCTGAGTATGATGATATATGCAGTGTGTAAAATCTAAATATCAGAAAAACCCTTTCCTTCATTTTTANCGGACTGCGTTTATTTTGAAACAGACAAAAGTGTGGGTATGGGTGTGGGTGTGGTTTGCTCTTCGCACACTGACATCCACCATCATACTTTTGTCTATTTCAAAATAAAACCAGTTTGGAAACTTTTTGAACATGGGTGTATGTGAAATATCAATTCCCATCAATGTACAAACAAAATACACTACACCTAACATTTTTTATCAAACTTCCCGGTCTTTTGATGTCTTTCAGTCACATGCGGTCGATGTTGTATAAAGTTAATTTCCGATGTGATTGCTGGATTGTTGATGGTCGTAGTTAAGGGTACTCGCGTCACAAGAGAATTTACACGAACAATAAGAATGGGGCAATTTTTTTACAACAGAAGGACAATGTATTGTATCAAATTTTTCCAGAGCATTTGCTTTTGTTTTTACAGAGATACAGATCATGGAAGACAAATAAAATGACACTCCGTAACGATGGACCACGCCGAGCCCCAACTAAGTACATCTACGCTCTTCTTTGCTTTATCTTTGCAACTGGCATCAAAACACTAAACGCATAAAGAATCGAACAATAAAGACTGCTCATCATAACAACATAAGTAATAAAGATAAGCCCGTACATTTGATATACAGATAGCTCTATCTGGAATGAACCGAGTTCGATAAGGGTCAATTTCCCACAAGCGTACACATCAGCTCGTTCATGGGCATT